TCCGCTGAAACGAGACTAGGTGCATCGACACCCCGCCACCTTCCTTCTCCGGGAGCAGCTTCACTCTCACGTAACTTCGATTCTACCTGATCTCTCCTAAAACTAACTTTATCATTGAATTTGCAATACTTGAAAACCTCACCCTAATATCTTCCTTCACTCGATTCTACCAAGAATCGGGTGCAATCTCGATCCTTCACTCCCTTTCATCTTCGCCATCGCCCCATCTCGGTGCACTGTCTCTTCTTTCTAACTCTATTTCTACCAACTTACTAACCAGTCTAACCCCATAATCAGTCTCGCCCGGGGCCAAAACCCCAGAATCGGCCCTTGCTTGATTCCATTCAGGAACGGGCGAGTTATGTCCTCTTCATCCGGCCATAGCTCCTTTGCAGCTTCTCAAACTTCGAATACACCCGGCGCGAGTTCGCGCCAGGTTCATTCAACTTCTTTCCCTGCCATATCTACTCCCCAATACCTTCCGCGCAGGGCTTTTCTCTTATAGTCCGTAGACTAACACCCCTCACCCAAATCTAAGCCTACCAACTAACTCGCAGTGCTCAAAAGCCTTAGTTTCACACCTTCAGCCGCCCGATTCTATTAAGAATCGGCCCAACTATACGTTTCCTTCCCCGTTATAGCCATATCCCTCCTGCTTCAGCCATCCTCGCGCATCCCCGTTCCTTCCTAACTCCCTTTACACTCCCCCAATCGCCGTTCTGACCCCGCCATTGAATTCGCCCGACCCAAGAATCTCGGGTTCGACTCTCAGACTGTCGGGATCCGCAAGGGGTCGAGGGCGCTAGGCGTTTTCCTCCCCCATCGCCTCCCTTTCTCGACTGCGGCCATCTCTGACTCCGCTCCAATGCACCCGGGCGCGCTCCGCGTCCGGATTCAGCCCCCACTTTCCCGCTGTACTATGGCTTTGTCCCTACCCGGCTCGCTGCCTGCTCTTACTAGCTACTTCTGACTCCTTCGAACAGCGCAGTTCTCCGCCTTTGGCTCCCTATTCTGCCTTTCAATCGCGCCTGCCCCTACAGCGAGTTCCGCCCACTCAGTCTGCCGCTGCCCTTCCCAACCCGACCGTACCGGACATCGGTCTCTTGGTGGCTTCGGTCATCTCCTCTCTTGGCCAGGCAGTAACCGACACAGTTAGCCCTCCGTTCCTCTAGTGTAGCGGCCTTAGGAGAACCTTAGAGGACGCTGGCTGATAGCCGACTCGATTAGCTCTCCATCCCCGTGCCCGGTCCGATAACGAGCTGCAATCTGAGGCCTGGTGGCGCGAGCCCCAGCGTGGATCTTAGGCGCAGTAGTGAATATTCCCCTGACACCCTTTGGAGACCCACGCGGAAGAGGGGTTTTGTACGTCCGCTACTATGATCCACCGCCCCTCTACTATGATCCTTGATACAGTCCGCAGACCGGTGGTCAAGGAAGCCGAAATTTTGGCAAGGAGAGTATAACGTTATGCTGACTTGCTCGATCAGCGACCAGGACCGACAGCCTTGCAACGCACATTCCAAGAGGGCCCCGGACCTTCGGCATGTGGGAAGGCGTCGGGGCTGCTGCAGATGAAGCAGGTATCCAGCCCGTCCTGCAGCCTGACCACCTACCGCTGTACTACTGCGGTCTTCCCTTAGTGACCCCTTGCCCACTTCACCCCACTGCGTCTGAGTATATCCCTACTTGGCGGGCCCCGACAGGCATGCCCACACTCGGACCATTCGCAACAGGCTCGTGGCTGGTGGACGCTGCATCCGCAAAGGCATCCCGCCACTTAGACTTCTCTCCGTTTCGTGGTCGATCGCCCACGGGTTCAGCTCCTTGGCTGCCGCGACGGTTCCCCACGACCTGTGTCGCGCCCCAAAAAATTTTCAGAATATAAAATTCAATAACTGTGGCGATAAAAATAATAAAATATCTAGGAAATTTTTAATCATAAAAGGGGAACCGCTAATATCGTTCTGACGCTGCCAACCGCAAAACCAAAGGAGATAGCCCCGCCGAGCTCTCCGCGCAATTCCCATATCCCTACATTGTCGCCGCTCGGCTCGATCCCTGAATCTCCTTGACGAAGGTCTGATACTGCAACCAATAGCGCTAGGCCCAAGTCTGGGTTTAGCTCTGACGGTCGTCTAATTAAACGGATACAGCGCGACACACCGAACTACCGAAACGCCTTCAGAAGTCACATTGTCGTCGATGTCGTCCTCCGCACGTACGCATAGGTCACAGGCAGGCACAACAATCAGCAAGACAATCTTTTTAATCAGAAGAAAGAAAATCCGGCCGGCGAGCACGCCGACTCTTTAGTCATCAATAATAAAAATCACGCGCGCCTCAAGCCTGTGCGCCCACACAGTCTTTATTCTAGCCAACCACCCTACCAACGTAAGCCACAGGTGCAACCGCGCATCGCGCAGAATACGTAAACTTTAAACCAAGCCTAATTTTTGTCGCATGCAAAAACCAGGGCGGATATCCTTGCAAGGGTATTCGCGCTGACACCGGGGCAACGAATTTAGCAAAATGAAAAAGAAAAGCTAAGTCCGTTGCACCGGTGGTCAACTCCAAGAGGCACCCGGTCAACAGCCAACAGAGCGAAAATCGTCAATGCGAGGCAGATCTGAAACAGAACCAAAGTTGACACACACACACAGACTGTCTCTCTCTCTCTCTCACACACACACACACACACACACACGCAAAGACTCTCTCTCTCTCTCTCTCTCTCTCCCTTTCTCTCTCACACACACACACACTCACACCCACACATGGACTCTCTATCTGTCTCTCTCACACCCAGACAAAGATTCTCTCTCTCTGTCTCTCTCTCGTTCACACATACTGTCTCTCTCTCGTTCACACACACTGTCTCTCTCTCTTTCACACACAGTCTCTCTCTCTTTCACACACACTGTCTCTCTCTCTTTCACACACATACTTACACACACACAAACTCGCTCCCCCTCTCTCACACACACAAACTTTCTCTCTCTTTCTCTCTCTCTCTAACACACACACACAGACTCTCTCTCTCTCTTGCGCCCATTTAAAATCAGTTAGGACTACAACTGTCGTACATTCGTTGTCGAAGTATAGTCCTATAAGGTACGTCGACTGCACACAGGATTGGAGGCACAACGCAAAAAGCCCAAAGAAGGTATGTTCACTACACACAGGGTTGGAGGCACAACGCACTCACAGAAACACGCACTCTCAGAAACACACATCTCAGAAACACACACTCACACACACACACACACTCTCACTGCTACAGTACAGAGCCAAAGTCAGGAACACCTAAAAAAAAAAGCGGAACATTAGACAATGCAAGGCGGATCCGAAACAGAACCAAAGTTGTTCACCAAAGTCAGGAACGCCTTTCAAAAACAAAACGAAACATTAAGTGTTGCTTCACCAACTTCACCCCGGGGTAACGGATTTAGCAAATGAAAAAGAAAAGCTAAGTCCGATGTCCCGGGGGTCAACTCCAATAGGCACCCGGTCAACGGCCAACAAAAAAACTCTACAAGTCAATGTCGCAAAGTCCTCCACAGTGCGCCAAAATCCAAAAAAACGCAAACCAGGCCCTAGCTCCAAGGGCCTCATCTACTCTGTCATCTACTCTAAAGTAAGGGGCTGAGAACTGGAGGTGAGCCCTCGCAGAAAATGTAAAAAACATCTAGAAAATCAAACTCGAGCTGAGCACTCCTTTGAGTGAAGGTAATAAAGTCCTCTACTCCTATGAATCTCCCTCGGCGGCGGCCGTCCGCGGACAAGTGCGCGGACCGCGCGGACGCGCGGCGCCGTGGCGGCCGAAACGGAGGTCCGTTCGGAAATCGGTAAACGGCTCCCGGCGGCGCATGAGCGTCCCCAGGCCCATGCACGGAAAAAAAAAAATAAAATTGATTTTCTAGGGGGGTTAATTTTTGTCCCCTACGAGGGTAAAAAAAAAAATACACCCCCCCTCATTTCGCAAATTTTTCGAAGCGGGGGTGTTCGACAAGTCGCAAGGCACGTATAGGAAAAAAAAAAAAAAATTCCGGTGGTGGTTGGGGTTTCTGGGAGGGGGTTGTATTTTGGGGGGTTTTATCGTGTGTCGGGGAGGCTGGGGAGGGCAAAAGGTGTGGGGTTCGAAATAGTGGGTTGGTGGGGCCTGTTGAGGTGTGTATTTATACATAAGTCAACACAAGTCGGCAGAGTAAAACACATTGGGACATTTTTCATTCCACAATTGACATGAACTGATGGTTTCAAAACATATGACATGGAGATCAGGAACGCAAGTCGCACATTTTGCCGAAAAAAAGCAATGCAACCGCTGCACGAGTTGTAGAACATGCGATATACCACTCAAATCCCCGCAAACACAAATGTTCTATCGAACGAGTGCTCATCCTGTGACTCCTATCCACACACATCAGAAAACTACATACTCTCCATATGTACATACGTCATCCTCATAAAAAACAAAAAAACAAAAAAACAAAAAGAACAGTTGTCACTAGTATACATATGTCTCATAAAAGCGAAGAAATAAAAATTGTACCACAAAGAACCTCCGCGAAACCAAAGTACATATGAGACCAGACTCCTGAGACTACACACAATTCGTCCGACGCCTTGGACTACACAGGAGTCCTGGGAAGGCGAAAAAAAAACACATAAATAACTGTGAAACTAAAGTACATATGATAAACTACCAAAAGACAGCGACCAACGAACCGAACAATGGGGAACATCCACATAAACAGGAGGACATATCTACTGCCCCCCGCCCCTGCCTCCTCGTCGTCGTCCCCGTGTGGATGGTGTCTTATGTGTCCCTGCCGCGGCCGATCTCTCCCTCTCTCTCTCCCTGCGCCTCACAACCTCGATGGGCTCCTCCTCTGTGTCGGCTTCTGAGGCACGCACCATCGCCAACCTCGCGCGCTCCCTGTGCAATGTGTCACTCAACTCTCTCAATCGCGTCTCGTCCCTAGCAATACGAGACTGTATCTCGTTAATGGTGGTGTGAGATCGCTCTCCACTAGGCGCCAACACACCGTCCTATCCGGAAGTATACAACGCAAGTGCGGCCATGCGTGAACCTAAAAGTAAGCCTCTGCGCGCGCCGTATCTAGGCATGCCGAGAATGTGATAAGCAGTCCTCAAACTCGGTGCCGGTCTCTGCTCCTTGCTCAACAGCGCCTGATGCGCCGCGAAATCACCCCACACACCGTCGTCAACTCGTCGCACTGTGCTCCATGAACGGTGAAGCGACTGCTGTGTGTCTAGGCGAGGCGATGACGACGAGGACATGTGGCCTCTCTCTCTCTCCCTGCCCGTGACAGTTGTCGGACTGTCGCGGATCATAGTCGGTGGAGGAGGTGTGACTGGGGGGATGCGAGTCGTGCGTGCACCTGAAGCCGCTGCTCTAATAGACTTTGAACGTTGCTGCTCGCGCTCCAAGCTCGCAGGAGAGCCGGAATACAAAGGGCTCAAAGGTGTGTACAGCGGAGGCGAGCGAACTACGACACCGACAGATCCTGCAGTTCGTGTGATAATCGGATCCTCCATCGCCGCACGATGCAACGCGTCAGGGTCAAGTAGGCCAGGTGTAATCTGCCCCTCCTCCATTTTTGCTCTCTCTGGGTTAGTACGATCATCTGCCGTACCGCCCTCCCCCTCCTCATCAACACCACCTCTACCCTCCGCAGGATGTGACATATCCTTGTGCGCGACCGGTGAAGGATGACGCAACACCAACGCCCACGACATACTGCCTCCAGCGTCGTCTACATGTGCATGGCCCTGTACTGGTCCACATGCGTCAACCCCAATCGACCCGTGTGTCGATCGACCTGGACCGGTGCTGTGCGCAGGTGCAAGACGGTCGGCATCACCCGCCCCATCATCGCCCTCCGCATCGGGTATGCGGCCTCCATCCAACTCGCCTGAATCGTCGTCCATGGGAACTGCCTCCTGAGTGGCTGCATCGCCTGGCTGCAATGTGCCCGCCGCACACAACCCAATTATGACGTCGGACACGGTCGCATCGCCATACTCAGACGCACCTAACTCTCCTCCCACGGCAGACCCGGAGTCCACATCTCCCTGGGGCGACGTCTCGGGCACTGCGGTATCAGGTATCGCTGCGTCGGCTGGAAACGCGTGCGGGACTGTACGAAAGCTACGCTGTACCCCACCCTCATCACGGACTGCAGTACCCATCTCCAAGTCTCTAGCACGCTGCTGCTCCGCTATGTACTTATCTCTGCCCACCCACTCTCTCTGCAACTGCTCCAGCCGCTGCTCCTCCTCTCGATCCATCCGAGCATGGAGCTCCTCCACGGACTCTGGACCACCACCCTGCACAGGATGGTACTCGGCCTCATCCCCCACTCTCTCTCGCCCATCAGCCCGCCCTCGAACACCG